TATTTATCACTTAATTATGACATGCATCATGGGGAAAAGAATGCGATATAGAGTGAAAAAGGGAGCAGTAAGTACGTGCTCGATTTTATTAGAATCGTGGTAATAATAGCGTTTTTCCCACATATGATTTCAGATTTAATATTTTAAGATCTATATATAACACGGTTGCAAGCGATAGACATACGAGTACACTGTGGTTCAAGAGTATGTGAACACCAATTTTATTTTCATTTTACTTTCCTTTTAAAGAACCCAATCAAAATTAAACAAAAATTAATAATTTTGAACCAATATTCGAAATTTATTTTTATATCACTTTTTTTTTAAAGAACGTACTCAAAATTAAATTAAACTCCATAATGTCATAATAACGCTTGAAACGAGAACTAATTTCAAAAATAAAATAATCACAAATACAAATAGTAATCGCTCTTTTGTCAATTTTCTTCCAAATTACGAAACATCCTATGTAACATCATATTTTCGTTCTACTTTCATTAAAATGAACAATATAAACTCTTGATTTCGAAGTGACAGTAAAAATTCAAATCCTATAATTCGACGAAGTATGATGGATATACTTAATTGAAGTCTTCGAGAGAAGGAAATTTTTTAAGAGACCTTAATGTACCAGAGGAACTTCTACAAATCCTATTTCCGATGACTTACAGACTCAGTGCACAGTGTAATTTGTATAAGCAAACGTTTTTTAAGCAAATCGAAATCGGGGAACCCACCATCGGAGCTGGTGGGAAGTCATGAGTGCCCCTACTCCGAGTAGAACAGCTTGCGACCAACTACATACTATATAGTACTTCCATTTGGAGAACATTCACGTACTTATTGTGAGTGTGGCTCGAGCTCAGTTCTACAGTTTTGCGCGCGCTATTCACACGAGCCACATTGTATCCTAATCCCCGAACAGTCATAACAACATAAATGAAACTGTCGTATTTGAAAGTGAAAATGAAGTCTTTAATACTCATCGCGTAACGGTGCCATAAACTTTTACACTTGCTTCGAGTAAAACATTCAAAAAATCATAACGAATCCTGGAACGAATATGTTATGAGTACTGAGAAAATTATACACCACTTTCTATAACGATGTTAGCTATTTTTGAGAAGCTGAAACATCGTCGTAAGAAGTCGTCTAAACGTTTATCTTTTAAGTCAACCGAGGTTAGAAACATAGTGTTAGAATTTGAGAAAACAAAGGATAAGAAGAAGGCGTATAAAAATAAGTTTACGTCAACTGGAATTAAAACCAAAGTTTTCGGATATAGGAAAGCAAAGGATACAAAGGTTCGTAACAAAAAATATTTGCCTTCTAAGTCAAGCGAGATTGAAAACGGTGTTCCAAAGTATGAGAAAACAAAGGATTCTCGTCCTTATAATGAAAAATATTTGTCTCCTAAATCGAGTGAGATTAAAAACAGTGCTTTGAAATATGAGATAACAAAAGGCACAGAGGTGTATAATAAAGAATATTTGACAAATAAGAATTTATCGATTATGACTGACGACGAATTTGACTCGTGTGTAGAAAATTCTTTTGTTGGGGTGAATTTAATGGAGAAGAAATCTAGCAAGGCTAATGATCTTTCGAGGAGAAGTTTAGACGAATATATAATTGTGAGTATCGAAGAAAAGCCTGCGACACTTATCACGAAGAATGTACATGATAATAGTGATTCAGAAAGCGTGAAGACGAGTATTGTCTCGGGGAAGAACTGCTGTACAGCATGTAACGATAGATGGTACAGGAGGTTCATGCAACTAGTTTCGAGGACAAATAGGATTTCTCCTTGTGTGGTAACAGGGTGAGTGTAATTTACGAATATGAAAAATTTATTAATGATAAAATTTGTTAAGTGGTCAATTGTTACATTATACTGGATTAGTAAGAAGAAATTCGTACGTTGAAAAATAAATTGATTTGAAATCTTTCTTTGAAGAAAATGCTGCAGAATAAAATTTTCTAATTGTACATATGCGTATATCATGCATGTCCCGTCAATGTATTGTGAATTATGAAAGTAAATTCATATAAGGAAAGTACGATAACATTCGAAATCATGTTTCCACGTAGAACCATATGAATGAACCATGGCAACTTGGATGAACAAATTGCCTGATTATTACGTTCTCAGAATCGCATTAAGTATGAAATCGTATGCAAATCCACATGCTGTTTGTTTTCTCTTTTCTGGATGCATTCGTCCATAGTGGCTTAAATAACTCGATGAACGAGTAACAATTAAAATTTAGGTATACGCATCGCAATCGATGAAACTGTTATCGATTTTGCTAATTTAAGGTTGAGGATGTTCGATGTCGGAAGCGAAACAAACGATATCAAAGTATTATACGCTTATAATACAGTATTATATCATATAGTATCATATCATACATTATATAGACATCATATGTCACTAAAGTACGTTTCGGCTAAATATTACAAACAAAACTGAGCTAAAAAATATAGATTTAACAAATTTCCAAAACTCAATTCGAGTCGCAAATCTCTCTGATCTAGATAGTATCGCGACATAGAATTGCTAATTCGTTATCAAACACGATGCACCTGACGACGAAATCGATTAACAGTGGCATCGAAGAGGCTACGGTCGTCGAGTCGATTGGATCGTTGGGTGGCCATCGTGTTTATCCACCGAATAGATAGAGAGCCACGGAGAAATCGACGGATGTGACCGACGATAATGCACTTCTCACGGTTAGAAGACACGGTGCACGTGGCAAGGGAGTTTAAAGACCCGCTGGAAAAGCCGGCAGCCGTTGTTTATGCAGGGAAACCAGCGTCGGTGAGTCATTCGAGTAAATGACAGCGTGGTGTAACGCTTGCGTGCCCACCATCGCACGAAACGATAGCCAAAACGATAGTTGAATAGATTGTACGTGGGGAATATTTAATTTTACATTCAATAGACAAGAGGTTTAAGGCAATCTGTTGTATAGGTTTAACAAAGAAGTAGGTTTCTAAGACGATTTCGTCGATTTTGAAAATTAGTTACGTAATTCATTGTTAATAATCTATTAAGGACCAACATTGCATCAACGTTGACTATTGTTCGAATCGTTTTGAATAAATATTTATCTACGACAATTATCCGGACTAATTCCTTTTGTTGGAACGACTATAATTGAACTCGGGATACGATAAGATAAAATTTTAAGAATAACTTTGATGAGATTAATTGTTGAGTGTGGCGTACTTCTAATTAAATTATATTGTGTTGTATTTCAGCGATTTTAAAAGAATTTCATTCTCATGTCGTTTTCTCGAAATCTGAGAATATACATCAAGTAGTATTATGTTCAAAAATAGCCATACTCGCTTATGCGTGTCGACAATACGAAACGTCGTTGCGCACAATAGTTTCTAATTACGTATTACCCAAGGGCCCTGTTCGAACTTCATTCAGCCCTAAGTACACGGTACGTGAGTCGAGTGGCTGTGTATGCGACAGGATCTTGCGCAGAACGTGCGTAATGGACTTCCTGCGTGCATCGAACCTGAACACGCCTGTCTCTGTATTCTGGCATTGCACGCGGCTTTTTCATCTTCCTGGAAACGACTATTTTCATGCTATACGTGGAACGTGAATCCTTGATCGAATGACTATCGATTCGATTGACTTATATAGTCCTTAGTGTCATTTCGGGAATAAAATGGCCAACCTCTTGTAAACAAGCATATTTTCACAATTTCCGTGAACAAAATTGTTTATATTCACGTCTAATGTTTTTATTATTCTGAGCTTCCGAAACGTCTGCAAAAATGTTGGGACGCACATTAAAGTCTTTACTATACAAATAATTTTTCAGTTAAACGTTCGAAAGGAACGTCACGAGTGGAATTTCACTGGGATCGTAAGAGATCCGCGTAATGTACGATAGGTTAGTGCATAGGTTAGTTCCTAATTCAGAATTTTCAGGTATTTACTCTGTCGATATAGACTTCGAAATTTGAATGAAATACTATTTATACAGATAGATCATTCTTCTTACATCGTTGCATATTTGTGCGATTTGTGTCATCTTTAGATTTAAAAAAAGGGAAGTGATTAAGAAAAGATAATGATAATAAAGATATGAAAAGAGAGGAAAGACTAGATGCAACTTAATTCGCGGTTGTGAGGTTGTACTTCGATGTACGTTCATACACGCACAAGAAACACTCTCTATATTTGTTGCGATAAACATACGTAAAAATGTGAATAAAAGCTATTGATTATTGTAGATTCAGGAAAATATGAGTTACAAGAACATGTGAAATAAAATAAAAAGAATACTCACAAGTTAGGAAGAGGATATTAGATTTTGCGTGCATTTCTGCTAGCAGTTTGAACGATTGCGTTTGATAAATTTGAGTGGCATACAGAATAAAGAACGTTTCATATCTTGGGAAACTATAGATGCTATGCATTTTTCTTGTAAATTGCTGAAAATTACTGTTACCTGCAAGTAAATAAATTAGATAAGTTGGAAGATTAGAAGAAATAGTTATATAAACTTCTTGATCTATTGTATTTTAGGATTTATAGGGTCCTTAGCAAGTGTACGATGCCCGATATGAATGATACTAATTTCAAAAAATATATCTTGATAATTCATAAATTTCTTTTCTTTTACATTAGACAAATATTATATTATATATAATATTATTTACTAATAATGTTTATATAATTTATTTCATTCGTCTTGTCTATGAAATCTATAAAAATTATGAAATTAAAAATTTTTATTGAGAAGCTCGAGGATAACATTAAAAAAATATAAAATTCGATTCTTTTAAATAACAATCCATAACATTTTGTAATAATTTAATTAAAATAATTAGTTAAAATAATAAATGGTAGGAAAATAAATTAACACAAATTTATCACAATAGAGATCCAAAGGATTTTATTTTGCACTGTGTTAATATATATTAAGTACATTTAACAAATTGCCTGAAAATAAATTATGACTGAAATGAAATTCTTCAATAATTTGTATTTACTACATTGGATAAATTTATTTATTATATTTATTTACAACTATTTTGAAGATTACATAGAATTTTTGTGGTTTATTCAGAATTAATTATTCTCAGAATTAATAATTAAAAAGAGGATATTCACGTGAGATTAAATCGATAATTTTATCGTATTCAGAAAAATGCAACGATCCATGTTGACGGTTCCATTCGTCGTCAAATTCTAAAGAAGTTTCCTCACTCGCAATTGGTCCAAAACAGTATAAGGAAGAAACGAAGCCCATAGTTTCCATGAATATCATGACTAAAAGAAGATTATTAGCAAGAGAAGTCAGCATATCTTTATTGGTCGCGTTTCGATGTCTGGTTAGGTGATTCATTGATTTCATTAGACTATTCATAGAGCTGTCCACATCTTTTATTATCTCTGTAAATGAAACATTTATCTATATTACGTTCGTACTTCATGCTTAATAATATACTTTATATCTTCTTCGTACAAAGTTTATAAAGAAAATTTCTATGTATTTAATGTTTGGCGAATAAAAGGGAAATTATCGGACCTACCATGACCCGAAAAATTTCTTATAATAAAATGAATAAAATATCTAATTCAACTGTAATGTAATATAAATTGTGGTAACCTGATTTAGGACGAGCTACAACACGCTCCCGGATATTTTCAGAATCCAAATCTTCGTCGCTATTCCACTCGACTTGCGATGTGCTCGTGTCTGACGAGCTCGTGTCTGACGAGCGCGGTTCCTTTCCACTGGAGCTTCCGCCGCTGTGGAGTTCCAGTAGCTTGGTCATCCAGTCCATCAGACTAGATAAAACCTTCACGTGGCTCTGCCAAGCTTCCTTAAAGGTATCTCTCATTCCCTCCGCGAAGAATTTTTCAAAATCGACCGCAGATCGGTGCATTTTATTTATCGCTCCGAACGTTCTTACCATCGCTCCCTTTTTGTATGATTTCAAAGCTTCCGAGATTTCACTGTGCCTGGTTGAAAAGCAGATATGTATAACTTTCACATTTCTAAATTTTTATAGAAATTGTTTAACTCCTTTTGATTATTAACCCTTCTAAAGGATTTTAGTTACACATACTAAAATTTAATTAAATCAACTTCAATCGTATAAAATTTAATCATACTAACTTCACCGCTGCCTTTTTGTTCTTACTCGCGGATTTTGAAAATCTATTTAGTTTCTTTTTGCCATCCTCGTAAATACCAAGGTATTGGCACAACTCATCGATAAATCTTTGTCCCCATTCGCTTTCCGAAAATGTGTCGCTAAGATCACTAACAGCACGATGGAAAGAAGATCTTCTAGGTATCTTTCTGTCCAATATTCTTTCAAACACGTACTTCGTTTTCTTTTTAATTTTTCGTGGCATTCTTCGATCGGGTTTACAAGAGACCTCCGTTTCTCCATATTTATCTTCCATAGTTTTGCAATGACTCAATCTTCGAATCGCCCTTGTCCACGATTTCGCGTCAAAATTATGCATTTTCATATTCGATGATTGTTTCGAGCTGCTTAGGCATTCATCGAAGCGTTGCAATTCGCGAATGCACTCGTCGTAATCGATTCCCCTGTTTCTCGCCGTTGAAAGACAAAAGAAAATGTGCCAGGACTTTTGTCCTGGATGATTCTTTAGAACATTCGTTTGTGAGATGTTCCTTAAACTAGTTTCCAAAGTTTTAAGGGTGGTTTCCGGTGTATGTTTCATCAGATCGAGGATTGCTCGATTTAGACTAAAAGAAGATCTACGCTTCCTATTGTTCGTTATTTGCAGCAGACATTGCGATAGTCTGTCGCTAAATTCTGCTGCATCGTTCACTACGCCGAGGAATTTGAAGCCGTTAGCGTGTCTATTCAGTTGCTGGAACTGTGTGAATATTTTAGCTTATGAATTTTTGGAAGAGTTAATCGTAAAGATAGTACCGAAAAATTTCCTAGGAATCTTTAAAACTTGTATAATTGATTATCAGGTTGTTTGCTGATATACATACATAGAATAAAAGGTTTCACATTTTTCAAGTTTTCGATAGTTTTCGAGTTTTAGTAATAAAAAGTAATAACATAGAATTAATTACATATTCTATACTTTGATGCAGTAATTTATCTTACTAACAGAATTTTAGTGTCATATTACTATATTAATTGTTTTAATTTATTATCAATTATATATTGATACATAAGTTCACCAATTAATTACTTGAAAGACAGAAATCTTTATCATTAAAAACATTGACTATACAACGTAAAGCACAATTAACAAGCAAAATACCTCGTTCAATTTTCTCATTTGCACAAACCTTACTTTCTCGGAAAGTCGTATTTCCTTCTCCAAGATACAAACCAGTCGATGATCTAATTTCATTAATCATGTTTCCTAAGTCTCGTATCACGTATATACTTTGTAGCAGCAACTCAGAGAACCAATCATCGGACAATGGATCCTGACTCGAACGTTTTTCGTATCGTTGAACGGTATTAATTAGTCCACAATCATTAGCGAATTGCATGAGCTTTTTCCTTATACTTTCACATACTTCTCGAATAGTTGATAGCAGACCATATGAATTAGACGATGTAGATCTTAACACAATCGGTTTGTCTATAGGCTCTGCTATTTTCGAAAAGAAGTTTCGTATCGTCCTTTCCAAACGATGCACTTGATTTGGATTAACTAACACAAAGGTATTTGGATCTGATCGAGTATCATTTGGAATTGGAGAATTGCTTCCAGTGGTATGTTTAGAAGTTGAAGAACATAAAATGAGGCCTGTGTGAAAATATAAGTCTCTCTTGAGAATCTTTCAATTTATGCAATTAGTTAAAAAATATGAATAACTGAGAAAGGAAAAGAATTCAGTTTTAGAGGCTTACCTAAGAATACGAGAAACGAAATTAGCTTGAAAATCATGGTGAAAATAATATACTCGTCTGTAACACTGCTCCTTCTTCGCTATTTTATATATACTTCGGTATATCTAACTTTCTCGTTCTCAAAATATCGAAGAAGACACATTTTTGATAACACGATATGAAATATTGCATCGTTCTGCCATTCTCAAGTGCATTACAGATTAAACTACCATATGTAAACCCTCATAAACGTCGCTTTACATCTGCAGTTTTTATGAATGTCTAGTGAAATATTACCAAAGAAACGAAATAAATAGAGATAAGTAACAGAAAGCGAGACTTACAACGTTAAAAATAGGATCGAGGATACGTTGAGTAAAAAATTCAAGGACTTCTTTGCAGCTTCTTTTGGTTTCCTCCAACCACTACCAGCCAACAATACGATGTACACTCCCGTTCATAACTATTAGGCCACTTACAGGAAATGAAATAAACTCAATTCTATTTTTATTTATTAAATTCCTCGTGTAATTCTTGCAAATAATTTTTATAAATCTTTTGGACGTCATCCTGCATGAATGCAAAGTTATGATCGACTAAATCTTAATAATTTCAACCAACCATCAAAATTAGGAAGTGTCCTCGTACGAACCGTGCTTTATAGTGACAGTGTACTTTGTGGAAAAATACTCAGAGAAATACAGAAGACACTTAAGCAGCCAGCGATAAGAATAGAAGCCACAGGAAGGAAAAATTAGCATTTGTTAGACAAAGGATCATCGACTTCCGACAAAACAGATGTACCGCGATGCCAACGACACTCGACGAATTCTAAAATCATCTCAGTTACTTAAATCATCCTTGGCAACGATCTGTAAACTCTTTTGACACACCTGCCGTGTAAACAGCACGGTACCATTCTGATGACAATTCTCGTTTCTGAACGTTGACTCACCGGTGCTATTTGAGAATCATGGCGCCATCAGGATTACCAGTACCGACCAGTTACCAAGATTCACAAATCTCAGTTTCCACGGAACGATGTTCGTGTAAATCCGCGTTTCCTATCTCCGTGCGAGCTATCTTCGATTAAAGAATAATTGAACAGATAAGGAAGATTGTAAACGCGTCAGATAAGAAAGTAGAAGATCAAGGATAGTCGAGAAGTTATTGACGCGCGGTCTGTGAGCATCCGCCATCTGGTGGCTGGAGAGGAAGCAACAGTGAATGGAAAATGTCAAGGCGTGTTATTCACGGCAGTGTTGACTGCTTCGAGCTGACCTACCGGTGTTAACTTGTTGTTCGCCGGAATTTCTGACGATACTCGTTGAACATTGCGTGATTTTAGCAATGAGCGACCCGTGGCTCTTGCTCGAGCTATAGAAGTGACGTTTCATCGACGAGAGAAAGTTAATTTGGTCTATTAAAGAACGTGTAGGAGGATGTTATGAATTTCATTTGGGCGTAAAGAACATACCTGCCAGAATGGACGAGGAGACGATGTGGAAAGATTTCTATCACAAGATTGTTGTGGAGAAGGAAACGAAGGAAAAGGAGGAGCAAGAAAAATCGGAACACGAAACAAGGTAGAGAGAGAAAGAGAGAGAGAGAGAGAGAGAGAGAAAGAGAGAGAGAGAGAGAGAGAAAGAGAGGAACCTCTGCAGTAGACAATTAATAGACTGGAAACCATAACTTTCATTTTCTTGTTTACGTGTGTTAGTCTTTAACATGTCGTTTGCGCTATTAACAGAGAAATGGGACTGTGCTCGTGGAATATATGTAATCATAAACGTGTTAATAATTAATCTTACGCGCTTATAAGGATTAATGCAGTAACGTACAAACATTTCACTTTATATTGCAAAAGTAATATTTTAAAGAATTGTAACTAATATTACATAATCACATAATAGTTTTTACATGTACTGTTATTTGCTAGCGTTTACTTGCCATCCTGTAATGCAGTTAACATTAATTGTTAGCTGAGATTTGTTTAGTTTTTAGTTATTAACTAAAATTAGTAGATCTGTAGTCGCATACAAACGTAGATTAGTTCTTTTAATAGAATTAGTCATGCTGCAAAATAAATTTCTATTAATTCTAATTTATGCGACTGGAGTTATTTGATTTAACTTTTCAAATCCAAAGCGAAACGGTAAGCTTCTTCAGTATCATTTCCAAAAATGGACAAGTGTCGTTCAGTAACCAATCGCTTTTGTAGAAATTATAACTCTCCAAAATAAGGCAACTTCAAAGAGGAATTTTGTTCGATCACAAGCATTTAAATGCAAATACTTCTCGCTTAAACGGAGTCTGTAGCACGTCGATCTTATGACTCACAATGATTGCCAATGCAAAATGTAATAGATAAAAATGAATCAGGTGACATAAACGGCGGAAAGAGTCGCTTAACTTGTTTCTGTTTCTCATGCACTTTTCTCCACGTTTTATCGTTTTCGAGAAAAGTTCAGTGTTAAAAGTTAACGTATTCGTCGATGTTTTCACGATGGAATACCACGTGTTCGTCTGTGATGAGTCGTTGTTGCAGCGGTCTCGTTCCAGAACAGACGCTCGTTGCGTTTTACTCGTTGGCACGTTGGAATGACGATCTGAAACTCTCGTATGTACCACATACGCGCGATCTATTATTAAAACCAGACTAACGCGCGTTGTCCGGAACATCTGTAGAGGAATTGTTTCTCCAGGTCGCGCGAACGAGCGTAACGAGCCACTGGGATCCGTGACTCAAGGTCGACGTTTCGCGATTTATTGCCAACGTAATTTAAGGTATCGCGATAATCGCAGTGACAAAATATTAATTGCATCATAGAGATATGCAAAGTATGATTGCAATGGCAAGTGCGACAATTGTAACGGAGAAATATTAATTGCGATACGCTAATGGCGATTGCAATGCAAATTTGACGGTACAAATTTGTTGCAAGATTGGGGTAATCCATATGGAATTCGTTTTTAATTACAGACTTTGAACGCGTTAAATAGGAAGTTTTACATAAAAAAACAGACAACTTAAAATTTCAGTATCTTTTAACGAAGAATCTATCGAAATACAAAAAAAATTGAGAATTACAATTGACCAGAGATTTATTAATATAGATGCAATTGAGAAAATGATTCGAAATTTTTGGACGTCATTTGGATTTCATTACGTGTATAAGAAAGCGTCTTTGTTTATATCAAGCGGCATCTATAAATATGCCAGACAGAAGAGTTGGTCATCCGTTGATGTCACACGAGGAAAAACAGTTTGCACAAAAGTAAAATGCAAAGGAGGTTTCATCCTACTCATACAAATACTCTACGAAGTATAGCGTGTAAACTATATAACGAGACTGTCGTATTCCGCACGATCTCCTTAAACAGAAAAGAAGCAATGTGCAGACATACGTGTTAATTAATTCTTTCATGATGTCTCAACTATTGCATTGCCGTCGATGACAGAAGCTCTACGAGACGACTAAAGTGGCTACTACAATCTGTTCAGGAACCATTAAACGTGTATATAAAACGTTACGAACGAATACCATTAATTCTTCTTATCATTTACAAATATTTAGTAAAATCTAAATATACATGACTCTCGTGGAAACCAATGATAAAGGCAAGAAAACTAAAAAATAGGCTAATAGGAAACGTATGTAGCAATAAAGAACAGACAAATTTTAGACGTAGAATCGTTTTAACAGAATTAAAAAGATAAATTAATATAAAATATACTAATAGACAAAAGCATAGACACAGTGTATATACACGTTATAACTACATATATCGTCTATCTCCAAAAAGATAATTTTACACGTTGTTCACTTGTAATTACAATTACTGAAAAAATATAAAAATATACACGTATATTCTTTTTAAAAGCCAACGACGAATAGCAAAATTACATTTCTAATAAATTAATACGAAATAGACGTAGTAGGAAAAGTGAGTATAAAGTGAGAAACAATACACATACGATCTTATACCAAGAATATACAAATGCTATAAATTACTAGCTTACCCATTTTCAAAAAACCATTTCTCACGACCATGCGTTTAATTAACAAAAAAAGACGTAACACTATACGATTTTCTAATTATGAAATGTTCATAATCAACAATAGCGAAGTGAGTTAATTAACTGCAATTGCCGGTGTTACTACGTATCTAGTCAGCAGAAATCGCGATGTTTTTTCCCATAGGTCAACGATATACCAATGTCGGTGAAGACGTCATCCTGACTACCCCGGGAATTCCTTGTTTCCGTGGCAGATACGCAACTGTGCAGAACGTTAAATCATCAGCGCGTAGGTGAACGTCCCACGGGAAATTAACGTTTAAAAACAGGTTACAGGATAAAGGAAAATATTGATAAGCTTGAAGGCGTACGAATATAATTTTGATACTTTTTTGAAAATAATACAATGACCATTTTTCGTTTGCATTTGTCCTCGAAAATTACAACGTGTACATGGTCACGTGAAATCACATAAATAGTCGGACATAGAAGTTAACGCGAAGCGGATCGAGTCCGCTCGAATTTTGTAACGATAGGGACCACTGAAGGCCGTTCGTGACTTACATCACTGAGGACCTTGTGCTTCTTGCTCGCAAGACAACAACGTTGCCTTACGGTCGTATATCTGTAAAAGATTACGTAAAATTACAATATATACATGGTGTCTCGTCTAAGTATATTCTCTGAATAGATTAAACGTTTATTTTCTGAAACTTTTGAGAACAAATATCCAACATTAAAACGTTGTATGCAATTATTAATACATTCTCAGTTTGTATTTTGTTAAATATAGGGAACAAAGAACTAATTAAGTTCGATAATATTATGTACTTCTTAAACCATTGAAACTGATTCAAATGAAACACGCTGTATGTACGCTGTATATGTATATTAATGCAAATACACATATATCAGATGCAAAATCACCCATAATTATTCGAGAGACGAAGAAAGAAAGAATTATTATAAAAATAAGATATCTTGCGAATGTTAGAATACACGTTCCTTTATGAGAATGGTTAATATTGCTCCTATTTTACGTTGCAATTGTACGTGCCTTAAATCCAAACTATTTAAGCAACGTACGTTAAATTCTGAAACCGTCCAAAATGGTAAGTTCGAATTGAATGAGAAATAATTGTGAGCAACAGCTTAAATAATTACAGCCGAATATTTTGCGTAATTATCGAATACTTTTCTTTATTTTGAAATTGTCTACATTTCGTACAATTCATTATTTAATCATTTTTACAATAATTTTGGAATGAATTATTTAAAAAATGATTATTAGATTGCATTAGTATTACTTTATGACACAGGATTTTAGTTGCATATAGTTTTCCAGAATGTTACCATAAAGCGTAGCTAATTGAACTATAATTTATACTTCACGCTGATATTTTCCATATCCTGTATGCTGAAAGCAAAAGACTGCAATTTACCATGATAGTAATCTCGTTGAAGCATATCTTTAA